AAGGTTGCTCTCTGATATGCTACGCGGAGGACGACACCCTGCTCCCCGCGACCGGTTGCGGGTGGGCGGAGGTCCGGGATCGTGCGGAAACGGGACTTTGCGCGACGGTGGAGATCATCCGGAGCATCGGACTTCGGGTGTCTCTGCCGAAGACGGAAGCCTACGGATTCAATCGTCCGAGGAATTGGCTTCCCAACGGCCTGGCACTGTCGTCTGGGGGAGTAAGGATCGGGGTGGGGAGGACGCTCAAATATTTGGGGGTGATTTTCGACTCGAGTCGCACTTTCGGGCAACACCTCGCGCTCCTCGAACCGAAGATCCGAGTCGCGAGCGCATCGTTAAGGCGCCTGATGCCGAACCTGCGGGGTCCGCGGGCTAGGGTCAGGCGACTGTACGCGACGGTCATCCACTCCGTGGCCGTGTACGGAGCACCGGTGTGGGCCAAATCGGTGGTGGCATCGAGGCCGCTTCGCGAGAGGGCAATCCAACTCCAAAAGGCGCCTCTGAACAAGGTGGCGACGGCGTACAGGAACGTCGCGGCGGAGGTGGCTTGCCGTCTGTTGGGAACTCCCCCGCTCGCGGCGTGCCGAGGAGAGCCGGATTCCGCAGGGAACTTCGCGTTAGATCATGGCAGGCGCGTTTCATCGATAATCATCGAAAACGATACCGGGGGAAATACTTAATGTTCTTGGCTCCCGAGTGGAGAATTGGGTGGGGTGGGGTCACGGAAACGTGACCTGTCGTCTCTCTCAGGTCTTCACGGGCCACGAAGTGCTCGGCTCGTAATTGGCGCGCATCGGCAGAGAGGCGACGACGGAGTGTTGGTTCTGCGGTGCGCCCGAGGACGACGTCGAGCACACGGTCGCGATATGTCCCACGTGGGACGAAAAGTCTGGAGTTCGTCGACGTATGCTCCGGACGGGTAGGATTAAGGTTAGGTCTAAAGATAGGTTGGGAACTAAAAGGTTGATAAATCCCGTTGATGAGGAAAGCGAGGAGGATGAAGATGAGGAAGAGGCGGCAGAAGGTGCGGTTCTGGACCTTCGTCATCGGCCGAGGGAGAGGAAACGTCGTCGTCGGAACGAGGAGGAGGAGAAGTAAGAAAAAGAGGAGGAGGAAAAAAAAGAGGAGGAGGAAAAAAAAGAGGAGGAGAAAAAAAAGGAGGAGGAAAAAAAGGAGGAGAAAAAAAAGGAGGAGGAAAAAAAAAAGGAGGAGGAAAAGGAGGAGGAGGAAAAAAAGGAGGAGGAAAAAAGGAGGAGGAAAAAAAGGAGAAGGAAAAAAAAAGGAGAAAAAAAAGGAGGAGGAGGAGGAAAAAAAGGAGGAGGAAAAAAAGGAGGAGGAAAAAAGGAGGAGGAAAAAAAGGAGGAGGAGGAGGAAAAAAGGAGGAGGAGAAAAAAAAAGGAGGAGGAGGAGGAGGAAAAAAAGGAGGAGGAAAAAAGGAGGAGGAAAAAAAGGAGGAGGAAAAAAAGGAGGAGGAAAAAAGGAGGAGGAAAAAAAGGAGGAGGAAAAAAAAGGAGAAAAAAAAGGAGGAGGAAAAAAAGGAGGAGGAAAAAAAGAGGAGGAAAAAAAAGAGGAGGAGGAGGAGGAGAAGAAGGAGGAGGTGGAGCAGGAGGAAGACAAAGAAGAAGATGACGACGGCGTCTTCGATTAGCGAGGTGTGGCGATGAACGCGAGCTTCGTCGTCGGTGAGTCTTTTTTAAAATTTCTCGGAGGTCGGCGGTCCCGGTCGATCTCCTCTATCTATCTTGCCCCCCATTTAGTCCTCATATCCCGTTAGGAGAGAATGCGGTCGACAAACGTCTTCACTTTCTTCTTTTAATTTACCCTTTTCAATCCAGGTGGCGAAGTTCTAGTCTAAATCCCCAGCCCCGGCCACATTCTCTGGAAGCAGGCGAGCTTTCCGTCCCTTTCCCCCCAAACGAAGGACCGGAGGACACCCCCGAAAGGAACTGCCGAACGTCCTGGGAGATGCGTTCTCATCTTCTAGGCGAAGACAGAACGAAGATTAGGGCGGATCTTACCACAAGAGAATCGTGTGGAACGGTAACGTTCTGGCTTACCGGAGAGGGGAGACTGAAATGTAGGTCATACTCCCACGAGCGTCTCCCCCCCTCTTCACATAAGCCACGCTATTGCGACATGCCCAGGAGTTTTAGTGGGTATGGGTTCCCGGTTAGGCTTTACTTAAATCCATACCGAGTCCCACACTCCCTCCTTTCAAAGGAGGGGTTAGTGCGTAACCGCATTTCTCCTGGGTCATCAAAAAAAAAAAAAAAAAAAAAAAAGGTATCCGTGAACGCAGAAAAAAACACCAGACAGCCAAAGAAGCAGACAAAAGGCTGAAGTACCCAGGATGGGGGGAACAAAAACAGAAACGATTCTGGTCATCGTGGGAGCATTGGGAGCCATGCCACATTCAATGAAAGGAAATTTAAAGAAGATTTTGAAGAACCTAAAAGAAGAAACCATCCAGGAAATCGCACTATGCGGGACGGCCCACATTCTTCGAAAACAGTAGCCCCACCAATATTTTGAACATTTATCCCTAAGGTACCGGGAAGAACCCTGGAATAAATGCTTTAAAAAACCCCGACGGATAAAAATCTTGTCGTGTTTAAAAGTGACCATAATAATAATAATAAACTTCGATACTCTTAAATCAAGACAATATCCTATTGCTTTCAGCTTTCAAATTGGATATCATAAAAAGAAATAATTTCGAAAAAAAACCCAAGAAATTGAAATTATTAAAATACGTAGTGAATAGTAAAAACGGGAAGAATTCCTGTGGGATCTGGGATCACCCGTACAAAAAAATTACACTTGTGTGTGTGTGTGTGGGTGACAGCCAAAATCATTCATTTCAAAAAAAAATCAATTAATTTTAATTTTTTTTGAAATAAATTTTTTAATAAAACTTATAACTAATATAATTAATGGTAATAATAATAATAATAATAATAATATAAAAAACAAATCCATAAACAAAAAAAAAATTTTTTTAAAGATATATATATATATTTTTTATAAATTTTTTTTTTTTTTTTTTTTTTACATAAAAAAGCAATTTTAATTAAAAAAAAAAAAAAAAGGGAGAAAAAAAATAGTAGTTACGGTTCGAAAGAGAGAGAGAGAGATAGAAAATAAAACTTTTGAATTTTTTTTTTTTTTGCTTAAGTCCTGCTTAATTAATTTTTTGTTTCACTTTTTTATTACAAATTCTAAAAAAAAAAAAGAAAAAAAAATAGTAAAATAAAGATGATGTCTCTCAAATATTGCGGTTATTATTATTATTATTATTATATTAATTACATCTTTTAAGTATATAAAAAAAAAATTAAGAATTAATAATGATAATAATAATAAAAACATTACGAAAAAACTGATAAAGAAACTTTGAAATTAAAAAAATTTTATGCTTTCATTTTATATATTATTATTAGTATAAATATATTTTTGATTCTATCACTCCTATGTAAAAAATATATTGATTAATTTATTGTGTAATTATTATTATTATTATTATTATATTATTGTTATTTATTATTACAACTATTAAAACCTTTTTTTTTTTAAATAAAATAAAAAATTTGATTCGACATTTTTTTTTTCTTTCTTAATTTGTTTAATGGCTCACTCTTACTATTTCATCGTTTATATAATTTCATATATATATATATATTGTAATTATAAATACTATAGAATTATATATATATATATTTATAAAATATACATATGCTCAAAGAGATCTTTTTTTTTTTTTTTTTTTTTTGTAAAATATTTAAGGCATTAATAAATTTTTTATTCATATTTTCTTTCTAAGACTTTAAAATTTTCTTTTTTAAAAAAAGTGCACGCTAATGTAAGTAAGACCGCATTATGTGAGACATCTCTTTTTCTCGAGACAAATTTGTATCCATAATATTATATATTAAAGAAAATTAAAAAAAAAAAAAAAAAAATGAGAGAGAGAGAGAGAGAGAGAGAGAGAGAGAGAGAGAGAGAGAATGTGAGTGACTAACATGTTTTATAATTCATCTTTCAATAGTGTATATCTATTTTTAGACGGTGCTAATTTTTTAAATGTGGATTCGGGTGGCGTCGTTGGAGCTTTGACTTTTTCAATTTCGTTCGATGATTTGATTCGATTGTCCAATGTTGGAAATTCTGGCTTGTTGTGAAAATCTCTGTGAAGTTTCCCTGAATACAAATCCTTGAGGAATGTTTTAAGTTTGCCGGGGATTTCCATTTGACTCGCATCCGGAAACAAGTACATGTGCCTAAAACTGTCGATTGCGATCAGAGGCAAATCGCTCACGGATTTTCCCAAATGATGAAGGGGATGAGCAAATTTGACTCCGTCAGCGGTCAAAAAATTTATATTTTCTGAAAATTAAATAATATCATTATTATTATTATTATTATTATTATTACCATTAACAAGAAACCAAACGAAATTCAATTCGATTGAAATAAATTTACGTTTTTCTGAAATTAATTCTCGCTGAACAACATCATTAAATTTTTTAATACTTTCAAGGTCGTCAGGTTTGTGAAACAATATTAAAAAAGGCAATCCTTCTTCCGTCAGTTCTTCGGCATTTTGAAATGTTATTTCTCTCACGAGTGGAACGCATCTTTCCGTCATCCAAATATTTACTTCGTCGTAACTATTCAGATTTCCGGTAAATGTTTCGTCTGCTTCATTCGAACGATCTCTATCCGGTCGAAAAACTATTATCGGTTGATTAGGAGGATGCATTTGTTTCGAAGCATCGCTATAAATATATAGTTAATATTACAGCAACGGTTTTTAACGGTTTTTTTTTTCAAATTATTATTTTTCCCAATTAGTTATATTATTACCCAAATCCTACATAAAATTGACAATCTTCTTTTAAATTTGTTGCTACTCTTCTAAATGTCGAATATTCAGGTACATCCTTTTTGTCAAAATAACCGATAACAATTCTTTTTTTCCCATCAAGATTATTCAATTCACTTATGTGTGAAAATTCTTTTATAGGATCTTCTAATTGATTTTTAATAAATTCTACAAAAGCATCAGCCGATCTTTGCCCTCTGTATTCTCTTTTCGCTGGTTGTCCATTACGAAATAATTTCAGTGTTGGATATTTTGTTATGTGAAACCTGGAAGCTATGGAGCTGTCTCTATCGCAATCAACTTTTCCCATAACAATTCTACCAGGTTGATTGAATTCCGAATGAACTTTTTCCGCAGCTTCATCATAAATGGGTGCCAGCATATTACTGAATTTACACCAATCGGCATAGAAATTAACAAATACTAATTCATAAGTAGCTAAAAATAACAAATAATAAATTAGATTACATTTTATGTTGATTTTTAATAGTATTCTTCAAATTAAACTATGGTTACCTAATGTTTTGTCTAAATTAACACTTGTTAATTGAACAGCTCCACTATTTATTGGATTATTACACAAGCATGAAACCTATAAAATTAAAATTTCAATATAAAAATTCCAACATCAATAATAATGATATTTTCCATTTGAGATGGTAATACTTTAGTTAATATTTACATAAACATACACTGTAATAATTTCAAAAATTTTAATTAGTAATTTAGTTATTAAAAAATTACAAATAAAATCTGTAATAAAAAATTATACTTTATGAAACATGAGTTAGATTAAAATAATTTTTTTTTATTTTTTTTTGGGGGGGGGCCCACAAAACATGTTTAAAGGTAAAATTTTGAGACATGTAATCGAAGAAAAAAATGTTAATGTTTTCCTTTTAGAAAAACGTTTATTTAAAAAGAAAAAAAAAAAGTATTTGGTTGTATAAAAAATTTTTTTTTTAAACGGTATCTTTGAATAAGCAAAATTTTATTGATATATTTGCAATTAACAATGACCTTAAAAAAAAAAAAAAATCAGCCAACATTGAAGGCCATTTTTTGCGGGCGTTCAATTAAACATTTTAAAAGCGAAAAAAAAAAAGAGAAAAGCTTTTAATTAACATAAATAAAAACGATGAAAAACGTAATAAGAAAATTTTGGCATATCCAAAAACGCAAGAAGTTAACCAATCAGGGGTTGCAACGTCTTGCCATCTCACCTGACAGCATGGGATAACACCCATTAAAATAATTTTTTTTTTTTTTTTTTTAATAAATAAATAATATTATGAACATAAACTTACCAATATATGAAACGTAAGAATAAATTTCACATGATTTATTTCATAAATTGGAATCATGTTTAATATAGATAGATATAAACTACTCCCCGGCTTTTTTAAAAAAATAAATTACTCCATTAGGAAGTCACAAACAAACGACTTACAATGTTGACAATCCATAACCCAATGTTGCCAACTTTAATTAATTAATTAATTTTTTTTAAAAATATTGAATAATACGAATTTTTTTTTAATCCGCAATTAAATTAAAAAATTATAAATAAATAAAATTATTTAAACAATCAAAGACAACACCCAAAAAAAAAAAAAACAGTTAAAAAGAAAAAAGAAGCTTTCGGTAGAAAAAGCGCCATTTTCTTTTTCCATTTGAATTAATCAGTAACGAATAATTTTAAGCTCAGTTCAATTGGTTAATTACATATAAATAATCAAATTAAAAGCTTAAAACCCAAAAATTGTATTTATTCTTTTCATTTTGAATTTAACATTCTTTTTAAAATAATTTTTGTTTTTATTTACCGCCAAATTTAATTTTTTCAAAAATCAAAGGTAACCTAGGAATCGTTTGCGCATTAAAAACGGTTTCGAGAAAAAAAAAAAAAACGCAGGTTCAAAAAAAAAACAATCAAAATGATCGTAATAAGATTTGTTGGATTTTATTTATTATTTATCGTGAATTATTTATTATTAACTTAAAATTTAAATCTGCGACAAATAAATTCGTTTGTTTGTTTTTTTTTTACTTTTTTAAATGAAATATACGAAACGAGGAGATTTGAATTTAACATATTGATCGTGTCGAATTGTAAAAAAAAAAAAAAAAAAAAAAAATCGTTCGAAAATTTAATTTTGAAAATGTGTTATGATTAATAATTAAAATTATAAAACGTTTGTCTTTTTTTTTTCCCTGATTTAAATTAATTTAATAAAAAAAAAAATTTGAAATCAATGAAAAACTAATTCGATTGTTTATAAGGATAAAATCATTTGTTGTTGTTTTTGTTTTAAATGAAAGTGAAAATTTGATTAAAAATGTTTCTTTACTTTAATGATGAGAGTAAAATATTCAGCACATAAATATTTTTTGAATAAAACCTTTAAAAAAATTTAAATTTTTTTTTTGGTATCGATGAATAAAAGTGCCAAAATTAATTATAATAATTTAAATATTAATGCATTTTTGGATTGACAAAAGAAGTCAGGCCTGTGGTTTCCATGGCCGTCACGGTGTTCCAGCATCATTAGCATCAGGTAATAAGATTTTGAAAATAATTTACAGGAAAAAGAAAAAATAAATAAATTTCAAAAAAAATTTCTCAGGAAGAAGAAACAAATCTATGATTACTCCGGTACATAGATTTCAAGGTATTGATAACACAACGATAACAAATCATCAATCAAGGCGTCCTTATGTACAGCCAATGACATTACAAAGGGTTGCAAGCAATCAAAATAATCAATGTCAATCACAATCTTTAGGGTAAATTTTTTTAAAAACAAATAATTGAAATTTACACAATAAAGTAATGGAAAAAAAAATTAATTGGATTTTCTTTCCCCCCCCCACCCCCAGGGATTCTGTAAACGAACCTGCAACATCCAGACAACCACCTACACCTGAATTAGAGGCTCCAATTTATTTAAATGCACCTTTAGATAATGCTCTTAATTCGGTACCACATGCACAACTTATGCGATTAGGAGGTTTAACTAAATATGGAATGTGGGCTTCATTTGGTCTAACAACGGTTTCCGTTGCCGCAACAAAATTTTACGTCGATCATAGAGTAAAAAAAAAAATTTAATTTAAATTAATAATAATAATAATAATGATTTTATTGAAATTTATTTACGATAATAATAATGATATTATGTTTTTTTTTTAGGGAACTTTTGAAATTCTTTTACTTTGCACTTTGGGTGTTTTAAGCGTGGGCCTTTTAGTGTCATGTTTATTGACGGTTTGTAAGAGAAGGACACCAACGCAATTTATAAATATTCAACCACCGCCTTTGCAACCTTCTGGTAAAAATTTTATTTATTTATTTTTTATCAATTAATATTCAATTTATTATATGTAACAAATAATTAATTTAATTTTTTCGAAGTAATCGAAATCCCGGAAGTGATGCCTCAAAGAGAAATGATTATAACTCCAGTGACGGCCAATTTATCGCAACAATCAACGATTGAATCGAGATCGAATCATGATTTGGAACAACCTCCTCCACCTTATGAAATTGCTATTTTGCTGCCGAATAAAAAACACAATTTTGTTGATTACCCACCTCCTACGTATGAAAACGCTATCAGGTAGTTTTTCATTATTAGTTCCTATTTTACTCGGCTTTTAACATAAAAAAAAAAAAAAAAAACAATTAAAAGTGTAACAAAAAAAAAAAAAACTTTTTCTCCAACGATAATTATAATAATTAAAATTAGTTTGTTGGTTTTTTCTTTTTTTTTTCTTTAAATTTTTTAATGCCAAAAATTTTTTAAAATTAGTTGTAGATTTTACAAAAAAAAAAAAATTTTATATGAAATTTTAATAATATTATTTTAAAAATTGTAATTTTTATCGATATTTGTTTAATTATTTTTTTTTTGACTTAAATGTTAAAGTGAAAACAAAGCTCAATTGAAAAAAAAAAAAAAATTTTATTCTATCTTTTAAAACAACTATCGCTTTTATTATATTATATCTATATATTACATAAATTTAAATTTTTAATACAGCTAATATCTTATTGTAAAAGCAACTAAAATAACATAAGGAATGTTTTACAAATAAATTTAAGTCTTTAAATAAAATTTCATGATTTTAAACGTAAGTAATTTCTTTTTTTTTTTTTTTTATTCTCTACAATAACCTAACTTATTTATTTTTCTTTCTTTCTCTCTCTTTTTTTTTCTATTTTACAATATTGCACAAACAATTATAATTTTGATGCAAATTTATCAAAATCCAGTATACGCAAATAATAATAAATAAAGTGAAGGACTTTGACAATAAATGCCATGATTAAAATCTTTTTTTTTTACCAGTAGCAGGCAAAAAAAAAAAAAAAAAACAATGAAAACTTTGTCATTACGTAATTTATAGTGAAGCAGCAATTCACCCAAAAATTAAAAAAAAAAAAATTTTTTCTTTCTTTTTCTTTTTTGTAAAAGATCTAAAATATTTATAAATAAAAATGTTTATATTTTTTTTGCATAAACTGAATAGTTAAGTTTGCAATATTTGGCTTTTTATTCGGTTAAACATTAATTTGTTTTTAATAAATACGTTTTTTTTTTTTTTTTTTTTTTATGACCGATGCATAAAAATCTTAATTAAAATTTTTCTTTTTTTTTTTGCTTATTTTAAACGCGTTGAATTTCAAACAATTTAACATCCGTATCGTACCATATGGGAGGATCAACGTTTCTTAAATAAACTACGCCCCACATGTACGTTCTAAACCACGCTGTCGTTCCTCCGTTTGCTTGATATTTTCTAATTAGAATTGGATGAGGAACAGGTAACAGACCGACTAATGTTCCGTGCTGTAGAAATTTCAATATTTCACTTTCATCCGTCAACCCTCTGCGAATTTAAAAAACATTAATAAGTTTAAACAGTGAATGTTATTTTCTATTGTCATCAAAACAACAACAAAAAAAAAAAAAACCAACTTGTCTATGCATATTTTTTCTACTTGAGGAACTAAAACTTGTAAAAGTCTCATAATTGTTTGAAGAGGAAGTTTGGATTTCCACGACTGAACCCATTCCGCTGTCGGTGACCAAACAACTGAATTTTGGGGCTCGGCCTCGTCGCTAACTCTTAAACCTCCCTTCTAATGAAATAGAAATTGGAATTATGAAAAATAAAAAAGTATTATTAATAAATATGATATTACATTTTTAATAAATTATAAAAATTAAAATTTACCTGAGAAACAGATCTTTGAACTGGGTGAGACTCGAAATTTTGAGACGATGCTATTTTCTTAACATTAGGCTAAAAATAATTTATAATTACGAATAAATACAAATTCATTATTATTTTTTAAGGGAAAAACTGTAAAAATGTGTAAATAACCAACCAGGCTCTTGGATTTAGTCATTTCCGATGAATTTTCCTTTTCGTTAGAAAATATATCATCATCCGTGTCGCTTTTGTTGGGAATATTTTCGATTGTGTGATTCGTTATTATTTGGGATTGTTGCGATACCGAATTGACGGGATGAGCAGATTCTTGCTCCGTCATTTTTTCTATCCCTGTTAAAATCCTTAAATCAGTTACGAAGGAATTTTTTTTGGAAGGAAAATTAAAGTCGCAAAAAAAGTAAAGATTATTATTTGTAACCTGGCGTATCTAACAACGATGCTTTTAAAGTTCCTGGCTCTGCAGGGAGAGCCGGTTTAGAACCTTCCATGCTGGGAGATTCCGGCGAAGAATTATCACTTAAATTGGTACTCTGCAAACTCCTCCTGGACTTTTTATTTAATGATTTTGTTATCGATCCGTAATCTGTCGGTAAATTAGCCAACGAATGAAAAACTTGTCTTTTTCTAATTATGGTATAAACTAAATTAGAATTACCTAAAAAAAAAAAAAAAATGAAGTAAACGATTTTATAAGAATTTTTTATTATTGCAACACAGTAAGATGTGATAGCCTTACCATCAAATTGATACTGTATAATATTATTAAATATTTCTAATAGGAAAAATATTAAATGATGATTTGATGGCGCGGATAAAAGAAACCAAGGCGTACTGAAGGCTTCTAACAAATGAAGAAGTTTTGTACTCGAGACCATTGATAATGTTTTTAAATAGGGCGATACTAAAAATTAATTAAAAAAAAAAAACAAAATTAGGTTTGAAAATCTCTTGTCACACATAATCCTGCATAAAAATTACTAACCGTTCACAAGAATTGTTAAAAGACAGTCGAAAAGTGGTTGCAATCTTTGATGTCCAGTTGTTATAACTTTATGAAACACAACAATTAGTAAATCAGCATGAGTTCCGGTAAAAACTGGAATGTCCATTGGTACCGTTGCTGTATAAGGTTTGTTTAATCGAACTCCAAAATTTCGTTCTCCGCTCAATAAAAGAAGTATAAATACACCTATATGCATAAGTCCCACACGAGCTGAAAAATGAAAAAAAAAAAAAAACTAAATGTCAACTTTTGACCTTTATATTTATATGAAAAAATAAAAATTAAAAAATTTACATTGATCAGCCCTGGAGTCATTTAAATGGTAAAGAATTGGAACTAAAATTTCCAAAACGTCACTGCTTTTTAAAACGTAATATAAAAATTTCTGAAAAATGAAATAAAAATTAAAGAATAATAAAAAAAAAAAAAAAAAAAATTAAATACAAATAAGTTAAAAACGGTCGATCGATTTTACTTTATTATAGTCGCATAATTTCCAAAAAAAAACCAAAAGCTCTTGATGAAATTGAACTTTTTTAGTAGAATTAGGTAAATATGTTTGAACAAGAGGATTGTTCAAAAGTCTCGTAAATCCTCCTAAGACAAATTGAAAATCTTCATCTCTGTGAATTCGGGATAAATAATTAATAAATAAATTGTCAGATGATACATTCTGAAAATAAAATAATAATATGAAAATGTGTAAAATTTGTTCAAGTTTTTTTTTTTTATGAAAAAAAAAAAAAAAAAAGAAATTCTTACTTCGTCTCCTAGTGACGTATCATGATCAAGTGTGACAATTAAAATTTGCAAGGCTGTATCGACTAAAGGCTCAGCTGTGTCGGAAAACAATAAATGATTGTATGGAACCCCCAATCCAACTGGGTCATAAGCACATACAGTATTTAATAATGATGTAAACATTGGTAACGCGTGTCTGTTTTCAGCTGACGTCACATATTGAATCCATTTGTTGGGAGAAATTTTTAATTCTAAAATTTTAATATTCTTTAATTGTTATTATCGAAAAGCTTTTTCATTTTTTAAATCAATTTATATAAATAATAATAAAATATTAATAAAAAAATATTGCACAATTAATTACCTACCAACAGGAGGCTGATAAATTGTTTCACTAAAACAAGTCAATAACAATTTGAGGAGTTCCGTTCTAGCAAGATCATATTGAGGAAGCCTTGGAGGTGAATGAGCAAAGCCAACTCCTGCTTCCCAAATATATTCACAACTATCTATTGCAGATAAATCTTCAGCTTTATCAGGACCTGATTTTCTATTTCCTATAACTGTAAAATCTGGACAAAAAAGTAAATCCTGAAATTCAAAATTTATATTTTGTCATTAAAACTTTTTTTTCGATCGTTTTCTGCGAATAATTCAATAATTTTAATTTTAAAGTAAAAATTTTTATGATGATAAAATCAACTCACACAGACAGCATTGATTAATGATTGCGCCAAAGGTGCTGATTCTTCATCATCTTGAGAACTTCCTGTGGGTAAACTTGACCAAAAAAAACCTCTCCAATCAGGATCTTCAAAAATATAAGGCAATATTCTTGTAAGCAGCCTAACACAATTTAAAACTGCAATAAAAATTGAAACATAATTTTTAAAAGATTAATCTCTTAATCTGTCATTTAAGTGATACTTTTTCAGTTTAAAAATTTTTTTTAGCATTTTACACATATACAATATTTAATCTAAAAACGTTTAATAAATGCAACACATACCTGTTTGCTGCTCATGCTGTGTCCTGCAACTACTATCTACTGCTTTCACTAATTTTTCAACTGCTTTATAACATAATGTCGCTAAATTTGCTGGGGCTTCTTCTCTAACAGCCCGTATTTCGGCAGCCGGAACAAGAGTGAATATATCTTGTACTGAAGTATTATTTTCCGCCCAAAACTGATTCCAAAAATTATCATCCGAAGCGTCAATTGGCTGTGAAAAAAAATTAATTAAATGCAATAAATAATAAATCAATGATAACTTATAACCGTGAATACTGTATAATTATTGTTTACAGTAGACATATGGAAAATTAAAATAAAACTTACCTGTGTTTTAGAAGTAAGTTGAACTACGGCTTTTCGAAAATTAAGCTTTGTATCCGTATTACCCATTTTACTTATAGATACAGTCTTTTACGTTTACATCTTATACGTAATACTTAACACCTACAACTTGAAAATCTTAACATTACAACTACTTGTTTTACTATCATATTCGCTATTTTTCAGGGCCCTTTTTATGTGAAAGCGTTTGATTATTCTGAAGTTTTCAGCTTGCTAGGACATACGTGTACATGAGCATCATTAAAATCGCAAGTCATTAAAAAAAAAGAAAAAAAAGCTATAAAGTTTATTATTATTGCAGTAGTTTTTTACTTTTCTATTAACTTACGCTATGGCGGTATCATTTGATAGAATTAGAAGAAATTTTAATAACCGAATGTAAGTGAATTTATTAAAATAATAACTTGTAAATATTCATTGTATTTTATTGGTAGTTAAATTGGCCCTGCGTCTTGATGCTAATTTAATTGTATTACTTTTGTGAAACATTATATTTTAAATTTTATTTTCAAGTTTTGTATAATTATTGATAAGATTTATGCTTTTAAAACACTGTAAATTTTTATAAACGTAATTTAATTCCGAAAATAATCTTGTTTAATCTAGTTTTAATTCTTTATTATAAACATTTTCAAATACTTGTCTAATTTTTTTTTTTTTATATTTGATATTACAATGGTGAACCATTTTGAAGGTTTCGTTAATCTCGTGACTTTAATTTATTGTGTAAATATTGAATTATTTTAGCGAGGAGCCTGTTCGTAAACATCTTAGAAATGTTTATGCGTGTCTTGCATTGTCCGCTGCATCAGCCACAGCGGGATGTTACCTAAATATTTACGCGAATCTAATGTCTGGAGGGTTTTTGACAATTTTGCCAGCTCTTGGTTTATTACTGGCCTTAAGATATACAGCACCAGATGGAAAGAACAATAAATTAAGAATGGGATATTTATTGGGTTTTGCTTTTTTTGCTGGTAATTTTTTTTTAATTTTGTTATTACAATTTATAAAAAAAAAAAAAAATAAATAGATTCAATTTTACTTAAAAATAATAAATTTTTAGGAATCGGTATGGGACCTCTTGTTAATTATGCGATTGCACTTGATCCATCCATTATAGTAACAGCATTGGTAGGAACAATTCTTATATTTTCATCATTTTCTCTAAGCGTTTTGTTTGCACCAAGAGGATATTGGTTGTTTATCGGTGGTCCCATTTCAACCGTTTTGAGTGCAATGTTCTTTCTTTCATTGGCCAACATTTTCTTCGCTGTTCAATGGGTATATCAGGTAAAATGACCTATGATAAAATAATTCACATTATCAATTAATAAAAACAACAGCACATCATTACAATTGATTAATGCTTACTGTAAAAAAATTTTTTTAGGTGAACCTTTATGTAGGACTGCTTTTAATGTGTGGATTCGTCATTTACGACACGACAATAATAATGGAAAAATGTAGAATGCACGACAAAGATTTCATCATGCATTCAGTTGACCTATTTATCGACTTAGTTTCCATCTTCAAAAGGCTTATTATTATTTTAACAGAGAAGGTTAGTTTATTTATGATTTGTTACATAAATTATCACAAGTATAAACACACAAACAAACTAATTTTTTTAAAAATTTTTTTTTACAGGAAAAAAATGCAAGATCTCGCTCCAAAAACAAATGATCTTTTTAAATTTTCTTTCTTTCTTTTTTTTTTTTTTTGTAATTTTCATCATCATTTATTATTATTAATTAAAATTCAATGTTTAATCGAAATCATTTTGAAAAAGTAATAATAATTTAAATGTTAGAATATATTTATATGAAAGCATAATGTTTTAATAAAACTTTTCAATACAGAACGTTTTAATTTGTATGTGGGGCATTTTATATAATTTCTATACCTGTCAGTAATAAAATATATTTTGCAAAAAAAACAAAAAAAAAAAAATTTAAATTATATGTTTGTCATGTTAAATTTTGTAAGATAATCAAATTGATATCAGTTGGGCGTAAAATGAAAAAATTAATAAAGCTGATAATAATTAAACTCGGACTGAAGGTTATTTGATGTTTTATCAGAATAATTGATTGTAATATAATCACATAATCGAGCAAAGTATATTTTTCCTGTTAAATTTATTTTTTAGTTATATTTATATATATATATATATATATATATACATACATAAATAAATATTATTTTTTTATTTTTTTTTGTAATATTTTTAAAAAAATTAACTTATTTTTTATTAACATTATTTTATTTTATTTAAATAATAACGGGGATTTACGGATTTTTCGTCAATGATTAATATAAATATGAAAGCCCAGCTGTTTATTAGAAACGTGTTAGTTATAATATAAATTATTGGTATAAACCACATTGTAGAAATATAAATGATGTAATAAAATTGTTTAAGGTAATATGTGTTCTTAAAAGAAAAATGTTATTATTATTTTTTAAAATTATTAACCTCCTTTTCTTATACTTTCCTTCTGCAATGCAATTTAAAAAAACAACAAATCATTTTATATTTTCCGTAAAGATTTAATACTTTAAGTCAGAGAAAATATTATTAAAAAATTAAATAATAATCATTTAAAATTTTAAAAAAATTCACGTTTATTTATTTATTTATTTTTTTAAATGTAATTATCACATGAAAAAAATTTTAATTAAATTAAGGCTTACACGAACACTGAACTACTACTGGACGTAACATTTTACTATTATTATTATTATCATTATCATTATTATTATTTCGAATTAAATTACATTTCATTTATTTACTTTGTTCAGTACTTAATGTTGTACTGAGATTCACATTAACAAAAAAAAAAAAAAAAAGCAAACAAAATTTTTTCTTTTAAACCGAATAATTCGAGGGGTTGTAGTAAAAAGGCAGAATTTATTGTTTTCATTTCAGTAATGACGTAAGTAATCGATCGATAATCGCAGTAACGAATCAAATTACGTAAATACCTTAAATCTAAAAGTCCGACCTGAAAACCGTGTCACGAATGTCTCTTAACCTTTTTTTTAAAAAGAAACAAAAAAGAAAAAGTTTTACATTAAAACCACTGAGTATCATTAAAACTGTAGGCATAAAGTTCACTTGAAATACTGATGTAATTAATTTTTTTTTTTTTTTTTAAAATTAATAAGGTCGATTTCTTTGATCTCTTCCTCTTCCCGAACTACCGCCTCGTCCAGGAGGTCCTCTACGATCGCCACCTCCGCCACCGCCACCTCTAAACCCTCTATCTCCACCCCCTCGTCCTCCTCCCGGTCCTCCTCTCCCGCCTCCGGGTCGTCCCCCGAAACCTAAAACACAATAATTTATTTATTTAAAAAAATTCTTCCCATTTTTTTTTTTTATTGTTTAAAATTTAACAAACCTCCTCTTCCTCCGGGACCACCATCCCCACCGCCGCCTGGACCGTTTGGTTTATTTTCACCACATCTATTACAGAGTTGCCTCCATGAAAAATTAGTATTACTGCAACTTATATTCGTGCATTTCCAATCTCCGTCTCTTCCGAATCCTCCTTTACCACCGCCACCGCCACCTCCTCCGCCTCCACCACCTCCACCTCTGTCATCTCTAGGCCCTAAAATTAATAAACCGTTATTAAATTTAAATCACGAAAAAAAAAAAAATAATAATAAAATTTTTTTAAAAATTACCTCCTCTTCCTCTGTCACCGCCTCCGCCACCTCCTCCTCCACCACCACTACCAAAACTTCTACCGCCTCCGCCGCCACCTCCTCCTCCTCGACCTCCACCACCACCACCACCACCACCTCCACCGCCACCCATTGGTCCACCTCTACCTCTTCCTCGTCCTGATCCGAAATTGTACTTTTGAGTAGCCATTTGAACTTTGATAATAGCACCCTTAAAATCTTTTCCTGTAAATTGAAATGTACGGTTGGTATTTTTCTCTCTTTTGAAAAGTTGTCAACACTGTTCGGGTCATGAACTTATTCTACTGATAACCCACCGTTAAACCAATCGATCGAAGACCTCGCCGCATTCGGATCATCGTAGGTAACCGTGGCTTCTCCTTTGGATTTTCCAGTGACTTTATCATTGTATATCCAAATCCTGGGTTTCATTGTTTTCTTGTCTTTTTTTATCAATCCGATGGCTCCGAAATGCTGTTCGATTTCAAGTTCGGTCACGTGGGGGGGCATACCGGAAATGAAAACCGTGTCGACCTGTTCAATCAAGTCTCCCCCATAACCTCCCCCACCTCCTCCTCCTCCTCCGCTCCCACTTCCTCCTGAAAAATTAAAACTCATTTTTAAGCCATGAAATTCATTTATTTATTTTTTTTTTGTTTTTAATGATAATCAATCACATTAATTAAATAAAAATAAAAAAAATTCGAATAGAATTAGTGTAAAATTTAACTTATATACTAAAAAAAAGGTTTTTATGTTTTAACAACAACAACAAATTGAAAATTGTTTTTTTTTTAATAACCGAATTTATTAATAATAATAAAAATTTTTTTTTATTTAAAAAAACCCATTTTCTTATTATTATTATTATTATTTTCATTTTTTTTCCCATTAAATTTTAATCATTAATTTTATCACCGACATCAACAACAACAACAACATCATCGTCATCATCATAATGATCATCAATCATTACAATTAAAATAGTATTATTATCATTATATTTTTTTTTTTTTTTTTTTAAAAAATAATAATAATATTACCCAAGTTTTAAAACCCCGCGACGTAAATAAAAAATTACCAACGGACATGTTTGTCCGTTAAAAATAAATAAAAAAAAACCTACATTTTTTGAAAAACCTCTTTTTACTTATATTTTTATCGTTGTTGTTATTATTATTATTATTATTTAAAGTATCCAAGTGTATATTTATACGATTATGTATATATACTTATCAAACATAATAAATTTGTTATCCCAATCAAAATATATATATATTGTAAAAGTATAAATTAGAAATAAAGTTCAAGGGTGTTTATATTGTGAGTGTGTATGTGGTGGTTGTGATTTTGAGGGGAATTTAAAATTTTTTTTTTTCTTTTTTTATTACACATTATTTAAGAGACCGGATTTTTTTCTTTTTATTGTTTCAAAACTTTCTTTGTCCCCCCCCTCAATGCTTAAAAAAAAAAAACAAAACCAATTATACCAATAATAATGAATTATTAACCCTTCTCTTTTTTGTTACCAACATTACTTTTTTTTCCCTTTAAAAACCTTTATAATTCAATAAATACTTTAAAATTTGTTGTTAAAATTTTTATATTATATATTATAATAATATACGTATATATGTGCATTAAATATTATATATTATTGTATATTAACACCGTAAAATTGATATTAATTTTTTTTTTTTTTTGAATATACCCAACATTTTAAACTTGATTAATTTAGTCATTTTCAATTATCGTTTTTTTACACTCGACACAAGTTTATATTATAAACATATTTTTTCGAAGGAAATAATAATAATAATAATATAGTTTTCATTTACAATTTTTTCTCCTTGTTAGAATTTTTAATTATAATTATACACCAGGCCATATGTAAATATTTATCCTGCACTCATCAGTTTACACGATGATTCAATTAAACATCAAATTTTTTATATAAATAATTATTTTTCCTTTAAAAAAAAAAAATTTTAAACATAAAACACGTTGACGCTAAAACGTCAAAAATAAATAAATGGGGGGGGGGGGAAGGGGGGGCAGATTTAAAAAAAAAAAAAATTTGAAATTACACAACTCCTAAACCCATGTAAAAAAATTTTTTATTTTTGTTTAAAAACGTGAAATTTTTACCCATAATTTTGTTTTGTTTTTAAAAAATAAGTTTTATAAACACTTTTAAAATGTTAACAAACACGGTAGATTTCATTTTTTTTCTTTAAAAAAAGAAGTATATATATAAAAAAAACTAACCCGAATCCGGTCTCTGTTATCTAATGCATATACAACTTTAAAAAAAAAAAAAAAAAACATTTTATACACTTTTTAAGCGGTAGTACAACCTTAATTATTAATAACCTGTAAAAGTAACCATATTACACAAATGTATCAAAATAAACACCATTGAATTTATTTAAAAAAAAAAAAAAATTTTGTTCAAAATTAAAACGATAATCATTTATATCCTCTTATAATAATAATAATATTTCATTTAAAACAAAATTTTATTATATTCCCCTCTCCCTTAAAAAAAAAAAAAAAAAAATAAATAAATATCGCAAAAACCGATACGGGGAGAAAACAAAAAACAACAAGGGATGTTTATTTATATTATTATTATCATTATTTCCTACATAATACCAAATAAGTAACCGTAAAAAGGTATCGAACAGATACTATTCGGTACCAATTACCTTTATTAAAACCACCAGGGCGACCTCCGGATCTAAAACAGAAGTAAATTCATATGAGAACACAGCAATCTGTAGCAGGACATCCAAAGAAGACGTCATTTGATGACACCTAATACATTTGTTATGTAACTAAACAACTGTGAACATTGGTTATCAACATTTTTGCATTAAATTTATAATTTCCCTAATTTACTAACTAATTAATTTTCCAAAATTTTCAATCATTCAAGTAAACAAATAATATATATATATGTAAATAAAATTTCTTTTTTTTTTTTTAAAAAATTATTATTGTTAATAATAAGTCATAAAGAATTATATTTTAAAAGAGAGAGAGAGAGAGAGAAAAAAAAAAAATAGACTTCTTTTATTAAATAGCCTAATTCTTTTCTTTGATTTTTATAATTTCAGACAAGAGATTTACTTCTAAATCAATAATAATAATAATAAATACTAAAATAGTAGGTGATTATAAATAAAAATCTATTGATTTTATTCTTAGATAAATATACTTTTAACTTACCTCCTTTTTTTTTTTTTTTTTTTTTTTTAACGATTCTTCAACCTAAATTTTTAACCATTTGTACACTTATAAGATATAATAAATAACAATAACAGCTTGTGTGATATGTTAACATGTTGGTACCAGTTTTAAAAGATAATCCTTTTAAATATTTTTTTAAATAATAATAATATAACAAAAAAAAAAAAAATTTATAAGTTTTTTGTTCGTTACAAAATGTAAAATATTGAGTCAAAGTTGTATACGAATATGTGCTACATAATATAATTTTCAAATTAATATTAAAATAAATTAAAAATTTTCTTTGTTTTTCTTTTTTTTTTTGCTTACAGAAGATAAAAAGTTATTAAATTTGACGTCATATTTACCGCATTTAATAACGTAGAATTATTTTTGTACCAATAATTTTAAACTTTTTAAACCCACAATTAACAGAATTCATATTTGCAATTGTACAGGAAAAACCAAATTATTAATATGATGTAAATCATTTAAATACATGGAATAAGTAAATTTTTTAGTTACACTCATAAATTAATTGATTTTAAAAAGATAGTAATTAATAATAAAGATAATTAACATACTTCAATTTAATTAAATTTGAAGTAATTTACTGAATCAAATAAACGACAAATTGTGTTTACTTAAAGTAAATTAATTTAGTCTTAACTAAAGATTTGGATTATATCCTTTACAATAAAAAATCATAGGTTCCATTCGAAAATGAACCAACACTACATTTTTTCATATTGGGACTGGCTTATAAAATATTAATAATAATATTTTTGAAATCTTAACTAAAAACACACTTAGATTAAAAATAAAAATAATCACACTTATTGATGTAAAAAAGAAATCCCCAATTTCATTCATAATAATTATGGAGTACTCCAATGGACGTTTAATTATGATTTAAACATAAAAAAAATTTTGAACTTACCCAAAGCCGCCGCCACCACCGCCCACGCGATTGTTCATATCACGGCCACCGCCGCCTCCACCTCCTCCACCTGAAAAATGTCAACTGATATTAAAATCTTTTGTGAAAAATATAAGTGGTAAAATAATACATATATATATTAAAGTAATTTTTTATAAGCGCACTAAATAAATGTTTTTACCTCCGTAACCGCCTCCGCCACCGCCATAACCTCCAGAGCCGCCGTAGCCTCCGCTATTGCCGGTATTTCCACCGAATCCTCCTCCACCTCCATATCCGCCGCCACCACCGGGATAACCACCAGCTCCACCATAGCCTCCACCTCCTCCACCACCACCACCGTAACTATTGCCTGATCCTCCTCCCATTCCACCACCGTAATTATTAGCTCCTTGAGGACCGTAATTGCCTCGGCCACCGCCGGAATTATAATTTCCGCCGGATTGGTCGTAGCCTCCACCGCCGCCGCCACCTCCTTGGCCGTAACCTTGTTGCTGACCGAATCCTCCAGCGCCTTGCATGCCGGGGCCGCCGCCATAACCCTGATTACCTCCCCATTGACCGGCTTGTGGTTGACCGTAACCTTGAGCATTGCCGTACCCTCCGCCTCCTCCACCACCTCCAACACCAGTATAGCCGTACTCTAAACATAATAATAAAAATAGTTTTTTACATAAATTGAATTTATTTTCTGTTAAAATACCTTAGATAGTAAATACTATCGTTACGAATTACTCAGTAACTAAGATTGTAATGATTTTATTCTATATTATAAAAAAAAATTTTATGTATATTTAATTAAAATATAATATACATAAAAATTGTTTTTAAAGTAATCATTCAGATTAATTTAGATTAAATTTTACTTACGAGAATCGCCCATTGTTTTGACTTTTCTGTTAAAATGGCGTCGGTAAAGCGATACGCGTTAGAAATCACTTAGGGCCCAGAAAAATTCGATCTAATTTTAAAACAGAGAATGATCTGCAATATATATATTTTTTTAATTTATTGTTTTTTTTTAATGGTACATTTTTAAACCTAAAAAAAAAATATTAAATTAAAAATATACATTTACGCATATTTATAAATCAAACGATTCAATGAATAATAAATGAAATATATTCTTTTTTTATTCATATTAATTTTCTGTCAAAACTGAATAATTTTTTCAAACAAGAAAACTAAGTTTTAGTTGCTTAAAATAAACATTTTTTTTATAATAAGGAAGGTTTATTCAACGACTTCCATCAAATTACCGCCAAGTGTGAACAATTTCAAAATAACAAATAGAAACAAAAATAATGAAATCTAAAATATTTTAATTGGAAACCAAAACAATTGGAATTATAAACTGATAATAATTACTAATAAGCTTACCCAGATTCTTTTTAAATAATTTTAATAAAAAAAATCAACAATGTAATAAAACACAGAGTTTTAAAACAAACATATACTTTTCAGAATTACGAATGACAATAAAAAATAACAATAAACTTATTATGGAAATTTTGTAACTGTTTATTATAAAAATCAATCAATAAAAAAAGTAATCAAATTTTTCACTTTGTGAATTGGCAAAATAAGCAAAACACAATTTTTAAAATTTAATTACTTAAATAAATATTTTAACTAATGACATTGTTAAATTAGAACTTACACATGTTTCAACTTAAAATTACCACAAATAATCAATTTAATTACTGATAAGTAATATAAATATTTTATAAGGTTGACTAACTTCATCAATATAACATAAAATTACAAAAACTAAAAAAGTGATTTTTTGTAATTCACAATACACAAATTCTGAAAATAGTAACTCAACATGTTTCAATTATTTGTGTTTTTTTGAATAAGAAGCAAAGTCTGCATTATAAACTATTTGTTTGCTGCTGCTGCTGCTTTTTGAGCCAATATTTTTTCTTTTCTTTTCTTACTAGAGGTCATAAAATCAAGCTCATCTTTAGACAAACGAGGAAGAATGTTTGTAACAACACCTGTTCCAACAGTGCCACTTCCATCTCTTAAAGTAAATCTTGTTCCTTTCTCAAGAACCATTCCTTTGAAAAGATTAAGAATCATTCTGAGAAAAAAAAAAAAAGAATGATTATTTAAAGAAAATTAAGGAAAATGTTTTGCAATAATATTATTTTAAAATAAAATTTTTATTTTTATCAGTAATTTTTTCTTACTTTCCATCTTCTCCTGGCATTAAAAATTCTTTATCCAGAATTCGTATTTGCGTTGTTACATCCCATGTTCTAGAAAACATTTGAAGTTGCATTAAATTATTACAGGGTTTCGTTCTACCCCCTTCCTCCTTATTTAAAAGGTAAACCTGCGAAGGGATAAAAAAAAAAAAAAAAAATTTAAACCAAATATAAAATACAAACAGTAATATTAAATAATTTTATTTTTACCTGAGCTTCCACATTATCCTGCAAAGACAACACTCCAGGTTTAGAAACAATCATTCCTCTTGAAAGTTCTTCTCTTTTAATGTTTTTAATTAAAGCTCCCATTTGATCTCCTGCTTCAGCCTCATTTAAAATTTTATGATACATTTCAATTCCTTAAAAATACAATGAACGTTTAAAACAAAATTAATATTTCATTTAATTAAAAAACTAATACTAATTAAATTAAGTACAAATATTTATAATTAAGGTTGTACAAGTCAAAATTTAGGTAAATATACCGGTTATAGTTGTTTTAAAGGTTTTATTGTATCCCAGAATTTCACACTCCATTCCTTTTTTAACTTTTCCTCTTTCGAGTAATCCAGAAACGACCACTCCCCTTCCTGGTATTTGATAAACTCCATCGATTGCCACAAGAAAGGGTAAATCTAACGCACGCACTGGATCTGGAAAATATTCGTCTATTGCATCTAATAATTTTAATATAGAATTAGCACCTATTTCAGGTTTTTCTCCTTCCAAAGCACAAAGAGCAGACCCTGAAAAAAATTAAAAATTTTTTTTTATATAATTTCTTCTTCCAATTTCCATCTTAATATTACCTTCTATAGTTTCTAATTCTATTTTAAAGTTATTACCTTTAATAACTGGTGTTTTATCTCCATCGAAACCCATTGCAGTCAATAACTCCCTAATTTCAACTTCTACCAATTCCACCATTTCTTCATCTGCAGCATCTACTTTATTAATAAAAACTACAATATTTTGAATACCAATTTGTTTGGCCAAAAGTAAATGCTCTTTAGTTTGAGGCATGGCTCCATCTGTAGCAGCTATTACTAAAATCCCACCATCCATTTGAGAAGTACCGCTAATCATGTTCTACAACATGAAATTAAAATTAATTTAAGAATAATTAGAATAATATCTCTTAAAAAAATCATAAACATAATAACAAATCTTAGAAAAATAAAATGAAAATAATGTTTTAGTCGAATAAAACATACTTTTACATAATCTGAATGCCCAGGACAATCTGTATGACTGTAATGTCTTTTTTCTGTTTGATACTCAACATGAGCAATATTTATTGTAATTCCTCTTTTTTTCTCTTCAGGGGCGTTGTCAATTTCATCATAGGCTTTAACACTAGCCAATTTTTTTGATGCCAATACTATATTAAAATAAAATGTAATTATTCAAATTATAATTGCTTTTCATACTTAAAATAATGTATGTTTCTGTATATGATTTACAAACCTTTTGTAATTGCTGCAGTAAGTGTGGTTTTTCCATGATCGACATGACCAATAGTTCCAACGTTGCAATGTACTTTGTTTCTTTCAAATACTTTTTTTTCAGCATAATTCCTTTTGATATTAGTTAAAGGAAATTTTACAATCTTGTTGAATGAAATGCATTTGAACTGAAACAAAAGCATAAGTTTACAAAAGCTTTATTTGAATCCATTTAAAATTTTAATGTTAGGTTAAATGTAATTCAAAAAGTAAAATAAATTGAACTCGGAGTAGTTGTGTTATTATAAGTATTTATTTTTTAATAAAAGCACATGGCAAGGTTTTTATTAAAATATCTACTAACTTATTTTTAAAAAACAATGAATTTACTTACCGTTCCAGTAATTTCTTTACATGTACTGAAACTTTTTCCAGTGAGCTTTAGCCCTAAAATGAAAAAGAAATACTTTTATGTAGCTTTGTACAAAAAAAGATTTTACTATCGTAATTTTAATGAAATATTTAAAGTTTGAGCATTTAAAATTTATTATTTTTTAAAAAGATATCAATAAATTTATAGAAAAATAAAACAAAAGCTCAAACACGTTCTTTATAATACTTTTCCGGCTTTGTAGAAATAAAGTATAGTAAGATTAAAACTTTTGTCAATTTAATTTTATAACATCAGGTTGATTTATCTTACATTTTTATAAAATGTAAATATTAAATAGTTATGGGAAAAACGGGAGATTTTTGTTTACCTGAATAATAAAATATTCTTCCTCCTATAATAGACGCCATTTTTAGAAATTTTAAAAAAATGGCGCATTGAGTGTATTCGAAAATCAATTTACAAGTTTAATACATCAAAAAATTATTTTTAATCACGATGATTTACTTATTACTGATTCAATCATTTCATTTTACACCGTTCATTTATTTTTGAAAAATTTTCTAAACGCGACACTTTATAATAATAAATAACACGTTTTCATATTGAAAAAACGTTCATTGATAGTATTAATTATTGCATAACGAAAAACTATTCAAAATCCTAACAAATCACATTTGAAAAATTTAGCACTTGGAAATTTAACTTTTATTTTATGTGAATGTGTATATTTTAAATTAAAAAACAAATTAGTATTCTGATTATAGCAAATAATAGATAATATTTTAAAAACGTATTTTTATAAAAATTATTTATTTACTTCTTTTATTCTGTAAATTTAAAAGTACAATAATGTTTTATGAATTTTAAATGGATTCATATTTCCGGCAATTATTTTTGAAATTTAGGATTATTAATGATGACTTATTTACAAATAATATAATAAAATAAAAAAAATGTAAATTTAAATATTTAAAAAATATATTTGTACAATATGTACATTTTCTGATCACTAAATAATATCACTAAAAAATTGCATTTAATATTTTATTTTTAAATTAAAATACCCACTTAATAAATTTCAAATGTTAAAAAGACAGAATTAAAAAAAAACTGAAGAAAATTTTATTAAACATATCATCTTTGTATTGTATGAATTTCACTTTTATGTAAATACAGCTTTTATTAATATTATCGTTACCTCTTTTCTTTTATCAAGCCGAGTTGATTTCCCTTTTCTAAAATACCCAAACTAATTTGACTGATATATATTAAGTGATACTTTTCATTCATCTAACCTGAGCGTGTAAAGTGGCACCCAAAGCTAAACCGGAAAAACCAGAGGATGGTCTTGTTTCCAATCCCAAGTTATATTTTTTTTTCGATTCGTTCACTTTTTCTTCATCTGTATTCGTAATGGCTTCTAAATTGGTAACTTTTTGAGCCATGATAGAATTTAAAAGTTCTTTTTTCGTCATAAGCATAAGTACCATCAAAAGTGGTAAGTGAAGAAGTGAAAAACGAAATAATTTTCTAGAATTTTTACTGTCTGACTCTTTGAAAAATTTGTAACCTGAAAATTTTAATTTTTATCTTAGTTTATTTTTTCTTTGCAAAAATATAATTGAAATAAATTAAAAATCATTGTATCTGATAAAAAAAGAAAAAGTAGATTTTTAGACAATGTTACCTAAATAAACAAAATATAAATTAATTGGTAAAGATAATACACCAAAAGTCCAATGAGTTACACTGAATAGTGGGGCTAGACTAGAAATTGCAGTAATTCCTATTGTATACCTAAGAGCTGTTTTCCTACATAAATCTAAAAACAAAAAATTATAGTACATATTAATAATGATATATTAACTACAAAAAAAATTATTGATATTTATTTAGATTATTAAATTAAAATATTTCGATTAATACCAGGGTTTGTAACTGCCATCATTCTATAGCCTGCTCTAGAATAATCAGGTCTCAGATTCCAAGACAAAGCATTAAAATGTGGAAACTGCCAAGCATATAATATTCCACCCAAAATCAAGGATCCAGCATCCAATCTACCATGAGAAGCAGCCCATCCCATTAAAGGAGGAATAGCACCAACTGCAGAAAATAAAAAAAAATAATAGCAATATAATTTTCCCATTAAAATGGTGGCATTACATAAAAATTGCAATTAATTTAAAAAAATAATAAGAATTTACCAATGGAGCCAACCCAAGTATTGCCAATACTGATTCGTTTCAGAGGAGTATATATACTTGTGTACAAAAATAAATTTGAAGCACCGAGTAAAGCTGTTAAAGGATTAGCACCAACATATAATATAACAAGACCAAGAGAACCAGTGACAGTTGCAAATCCAACAGCATGTAGTGGCCTAAATATAAAATATAAAAGCTAAAAATAGAAAAAAATAAAAAAAAAAAAAAAAAAAATCATGCCTTGAAAAAATAAACATACGTCAAGTAACCTTGAACCAACACTCGATTTCTCGTTCTTGACATCTGAGCATCGAATGGCACTTCCAAAAACTGATTTATCGAATTAGCAGCACTAGAAACTAAACCTGTTCCGAGAGCACAGCTCAAAAATGATGTTAATTCAAAGGCACCTGGAGCCATGGCATAACCCATCATAGAGGTCATAACAACCAAAGCTGAAATGCATGAAATATTATTTTTTTTAAAAAAAATTCACTTGTAATTTAAACTGAATAAAAAAAAATGTACTTAATACTTACATGTTAACCTAAATTTTGATAATTTTAAGTAATAGTGCCCTAATTTTGAAGTGTCAAGTTCTATTTCTTTCCATTTTAAACTTTTACTTTCGGAAACGTTTTCACTTTTTAAATTATCTACTAAAAAGTGGTTTTTAACTTGCCCCGATTTTACATTTAACTGTAAAAACTCATTTTTTTCGTTATTTTGTACGTCGTTGACAGAAAATTTAATAACGTCATCTGATTTCGTCTGTTCGGTTTTTGGTAGAGCTTTGTAAGACCTCTGAAAAAAAACAAAAAAATTTAAACGGTATAATTTATTTTATCAGAAATTTAAATGTGTACTAACATTGAAATTAATTAATATTTATTTGCATACTGCGTAATTGTTTTTTTTTATTTTTACGTAAAAAACACGTACGAATCTCCTCTTTTAAATTAAATTGAATAAATAAATTCAATTGAAATACTCACAAATAATTTATAAATATCTTTTGAATTTCGTACTTGACATGGTGATTTTAAAATATGCCATGAACATTGCCAATACATTATTTGATTAATGTTATTATTCGGGAAAAAAGATTTTTCCCATGATCGCAATATTTTTTATCCCTTAGTTTAAAAAAAAAAAAAAATTCATTATAATAAAATAATTAAATATATATTTTTTTGAATCATTTAAGAAATGTATGCAACTGACTATATTAAGATAAATAACTACTCCATAGTATATTTCTGCTAGCAAATCATCACTAAATTTTTGCAAAAAAACTGACGTCAAATTTGCCGCTTCATTTATATATCTTATGTGTAAAAATTTAAGCGCCAAAAAAATTTGCACTATTAAATTTTTAAAATAAAAATTTCCTTCATCATTTTATTAAAGTCTCCTATTTATTTTATTGATAGTTAAATAATAATATTATTTCTTCTCTCTGGCCTTATTTTTATGTATAAATTTGTCGTTTTGTGTCTTTAACAAAAACAACGTCGTGAGTACATTATTGTTTAATGTTTACATTCACTTCTTAAATGATACTTACTTGACTACTTTTTGTTAAAGAAAAATTTTACACAATTAATTTTATCTCATTCCTTAAATTATTTGTATTATTGTACAAAATAAATTTATTATTTAACGAAATAAATATTTAAAACAATAATTAATAGATTTAAAATATTTACAATAAGTTACAATAATTTTTTTTATGCAAAAAAAAAAAAAAAAAAAAATTAATTTAAACTTAGCAACCTTGATTACATAAAAAATCTGATTGTAGTTAAACTTTCATTTTGATTAAATATTTACTGTTTTACATTTTAACGTTATTTATTTTTAAACTATTATTATTATTATTATTATTATTTAGCGTTTTTTGTGACATAAAAAATGAGCTATGGCAAGCGGAATAGCTCGAGTTATAAAAGTTTCCAAGTTTTCATTTGGTTTTTTTACTATGTCCGCTTTAACTCTCCTTATGGTTTTTGTTTTTTGTTTTTGTTTATTATCATTCGTTTTAATTTTGACTGAATTTTTTCTGATTTTTTTATTTCCTTTTTTCCTCGGCATGAATTCCGCCGTTTTCCTTTCAAACACTTGAAATATTTCCTTGTCATATTTTTTCCTTGAATCACTTTTGCTCAAAACCTCATAAGCTGAAACTATATCTCTAAATTTTTGTGCACTCGTTGCAGATCCATTATTCCTATCTGGATGATGTATTTTGGATAATCTATAGTAAGCCGTTTTTATATCAGTCAAAGATGCAGAAGGAGTTAATCCTAACGACTTATAATGATTCCACCTCACAGATTCATTTGCTATTAAAACTTTAAAGCAATGGAAAACTTTTTGACAACTCCATCTTGAAAGCATAATAATACCAAAAATAATTTATTAAATAAAAATTAATAAATACATATCAAAAAAAAAAAATGTGAGTATGATAATAAAAAAAAATTTTAATAAAACAAGGTGCTAAGCTTACAAAAAAGTCTAATCAAAATTGGTGAATGTTTTTTAAATTTTGTCCACCATTTTATTTATTCACTTGTTTGTTACAATTTTTGATTTTAATTAATATTATGTAAATAGAATGGTTCCTTTTCATAAAACACTTTATAAAATCATTAACAATATAATTTTTTTATACACATAAATAATTTATATTTTTAATTTCTGTAATTACGAATAAAAACAACTCTCGATGGCTGAACACTCTGCCTGCAGAGTGGACATTTAGCCTGCGATTGTAACCATGATATTATGCATGACCAACAAAACAAATGACCACAGGGAGTCACACTTGTATTTTTTCTAATATTAAGACACAAAGGACATTTATTTGTAACTGTTATTATTTCTTTCGAATCTTTGGTAACATTCGCATCCTCTTTTTGAACATCAAAATCTTTAAGGTTCATCAATGTGAAAAAAAAATTTAATAAAACGCAAATAAAAGAAACTATTCCAATTAGCTTGAAAGAAAAAATAGACAATTTGTCTTTTAACCAATACCTAATTAAAGCCTAGAAAAAAATAGGTTCAAATTAACTTATTAATATTCGATTGATGATAATAACAAACAATAAAATAGTCATTATTAGTTTTTACTTTACTTTTAGGTACTTTCAGTACCTACTCATTATCAGTTTTTACTTACTACAAAATAAATATATTAACTTACATATTTAATGCCAGTTAAACGCTTAGAAATATGATAAAAACTTCCATTCATGTAAAAATATGCTATGTGACCCTTGATTATTAATGGCAAAAAAACTTTTAATACATTTAAAAATTTCAGAATTTGAATTTTTGATAATAAAAAAAACTGTTCATCATCTGATAATTTAATCATTTCTGAACTACTTTCGATAAAATCATTAATCAAATGATTTCCACAATTGCTAAAAATTATAGACAAAAACTGAAGCTGCAAAATAAACTTTACCATTAAACTATGCATTTTATAAAAAAAAAAAAAAACAAGTTAAAAAAATAAAAGTAATTTAATCTTACATATTTATCAGGTAGTGCACTTCTCGAATTATTAACTTGTACAATTCCAGTAAATTCTTCGCCCAAAGTTTGTAAGTTTAACATTGTCGTAAGAGAATCATACAAAATTTTAGTAGCAGTTTGAACTGCATCTTTATATTTAATCCATTTTCTTATTCCTAATGTAAATATAATTTATAGTTAAAATTATGATTTTTCAAAACGATTAATTTTAAATTAACGTTCGTGAAATAACATACCACAAATCAATTGTAAAAGTTCTGATGAATCTTGAGAGAGTTGCTCTTTGAAATTTTCATCTCGTTGAACGGCTCTCAAAATTTCAGCTCTTTCCGATTCCGTTAATTGCATTTTATAGAAAAATAAAATTTTATTAATTACATATTTACTTCACGTTACGTACATTTATTCAATCAACATAAAATTCATCGTGACTTTAGAAAACAATAAACAATTTAAAAGCATTAACGGTTTATTTACTCTGTGACAGAAAATAACTACCTCATTATTCTATGAGATTTTGTTTCACTCGGGGGAACTTGAACGTACATTTTTCGTTACCAATATGCGTACTTAAGAAATTAAATCTTAAAAATATTTTTTATTCTGAAAAGTTTTAAAATTTTAATACAAGAAAAAAAATTATTGTAACGGTTTATTATCAAATAAAATATTGAAAAAAAAACAAAAAACGATTTAAAAAAAAATTAATTAAAAAATAATTAAAACACATATTGCAAAAGTAAAAAATTATGCAATTGTAAAATAGAAAAGTTATTTATTACTTTTTCGTAATCATTCAATTTAAAAAATTTAAATATTTTTTTGATTGAAAAAAAGCAAAATAATAATAATAATAACGATTTATAATAACCGTTTTTAAAATTCACACGAATTTCTTAAAAAAAAATTTTAATGAATGAATTTTTTATAAATTTTTTATCATGCATTTTATTTTTAATAAAATTATTTACTTGAAACAACCCATATTATAAAATTTTTTAAATAAATTTAGTCATTTAATTTATAAATTATAAATAATAATAATAATAATTGAAAATCAATCTTTTGATTCGTTTATATAATAATACAATTCGTAACGTATTATTTTCCCTCCATTTTTTTTGAAATTTTGATTTACTCTAATTCTTTTCTAAAATTTTTTTTTCTTACCCAATAAATTTATTTTCTTCCTATTAAACTTTTTATAAAACCCCTCTCCCTCTCCCAAAAACAAAAAAAATTTTACTATTTAAAAAAATTAATTATCAATACCCAAAACGTAAATTTAAAAAAAAAAAAATTAAAATATCAAATATGGGGTGAAAGTTGAAAACACTTTAAAAAAATTTTTTTCGATGGCCACATAAAAGAAAAATTTATAATTCTTATAACGTTTAATGTGTGACTTCTGCTTTCGTTTTAGAATAAATTATTATTATTATTTCTTTTAATAACTAATTATTTTCATTGTTTTTTTTTTTTTTTTTTTTTTCGAACAATTAAAAAAATTTATTCGACGGGTCACGTTTTTTCTTTCTATTTCCACGTGTTTTGATTTGTTGACCTGTAAATTTTTACCTTTTAAAATTTCATTTTTAACCGTCTTTAAAAAATTTTTTTTTTGCTTTGTAATCGTTATTTAAAAATAATTTTTTTTAACATGTACACAAATTCGAATCAATAATTCCCCCCCCCCTCCCCGTGAGACGTTTTTTTTAAATCACATTCTCGTTCACGATTTAATCCAATATTTATCATTATTATTATTATTATTATTATTATTATTAATAAATAAATGCAAGTAATATTATATATACGAACGGTAGAAAGTTAATAAAATTATTCTCAAATGACTTTCACAATGCCATTATATACGTTTATGCGTTTAAAATAAAAATAAATAAATAAATAATATTTTATTTATTGCTAACGAAAAAAGAAAATCGTTTTATCGATTTATCGATTTCAAATCCAACCTATTATTATTATTTATTTATTTTTCATTGAATGAATTATACACGTTTCAAATAATTTTTTTATTTATTATTAAAATAATACTAAACAAAGGAAGGGCATTTAAAAAATTTCCGTAACGTTTTTTTTTTTTTTACAACAGCACACGAAGGCCCCCTACTTCTTACTTCCTACCTTCCACCCTCCCCCCAATTATTTAATAATAATAATTATTTTACGAGAAAAAAAAACATAAAAAAAAAACTTCCTCAATTTAAAAAAAAATGAAAAACCTTCGTTTTAAACGGTTTTTTTTTTTTAACAAATTCAATCAATGTGATTAATTTTATTCTCACGTCATTTTTTTTTCTTATCGTTTAATAATAATAATAATAAAACACAAGCAGACGATTTTTTTAATTGTAAAAAAAAAAAAAATTAATTGAAATTGATTTGAAACTTCACGAAGAATTCCTTAGGAAAAAAAAATTTTTTTCAATATATAAATTCGAATTCTAATATACAAATTAATTAATTAATTATTATTAATTAATAAGTTTTCATAACGGGAAAATATTTTCTTCTTATTATTATTATTATTATTATTATTACATTGAAATTTTTTTATTAACGTAATTAAAAAAAAAAAAAAGGAGAAAAGGGGAAAACGCATCAACGATTTTTTTTTCCCCTCGGGTTTTAATTTAATTTTTTTTTATTTCTTCCCTCATTATTAACAAAAAAAAAAAAAAGAAAATAATAATAATGATGATGATTTTTTAAAATCGATTAATTATTAAAGTGAAAAATAAAATAATAATAATAATATAAAAAGGTGAAATTATTAATGGAGTGAGACGAAAGTAATAAAAAAAAAAAAAAAAGAAAAGGAAATTTTTTGAGTATTGCCAAAAAATTTTCTCCATTCCCGAGAAATTGAAATTGAAATTGAAATTTTTTTTGATTTTTGAAATGAAAAGTAAAAAAAAAAGAAAAATTTGTTAGTTTTTGGCTCGAACGTTATAAATTTACGGTGCCAAAATAAAAAAAAAATAAAAAAAACTAACAGAAAGTTATGAAAAAAAAATCATCACGCATAAAAATGACAAAAAAAGCCCCCCCCCCTCAAAAAAAAAAAGAAAAAAACGAAAGCGATTTTTTTCCCTTCTTCTTTCCATTAATTGTAAAAAAAAATAATCGTTTTGTAATAAATAATTAATTAATTATAAATAAATAAATAAATAAAATTCGTTAAGTCATAGATATTATTATTATTAATTTTTTTTTTGTTTCTAATGACACGTTTTCAACCCGATTAAAAATTTTTTTTTTTTTTTAGTATCTTTAAACAATTCAAACCCAAATTTTTAAATAAATTATTTGCGAACCAACCTCTCTCACTCTCTCTAAATTAAAACTATTTATAATAATAATATTAATAATAATAATAATAATAATAATTTATCTAGAAGAATATTTAAAAGAGAGTGAGAGTGAATAATACACATATGTATTATAATCACATGTACCTGGATAAAAAAAAAAAAAAACTGGAAGTGGTGGTGGAGTTTAGGTATTGTCTACATGAAACAAACGATTTTTATAACCAGTCGGTACCTGTACGACTTTGGTAAAAGTTCTCCAAAGGAGAGTTTACACACAATTATGTATAATAATAAATAAATAAATAAATAAAACGAAATTTTTTTTTCTGTTTTGTTTTTTTTTTTAATTTTAAATTTTTAAACAAACGAAAGTTTCGCGTTTAAGTGAAATTTTTTTTTTTAAACTAAAAAGTTTTTTTATTTTCACATTTGAAAAGTGTTTAAAGTGTAAAATTATTTATGTCGTCATAAAACTACATAATATTATTATTATTATTATTGTCTGGATAATTTAAACTCAATTTATTTATATTTAAAAAAATTAAGTTTTTTTTTATTTCCCTTGGATATACCTGATAGAAATAAAAGTGGCTTCAGCAAAGGTGAGTTTCAAAAAAAAAAAAAAAAATTTACTAACTAACTCTTACTTTCAATAAACGTGTTATCCATTTCATTATCATCATTATCATTATTATCATCATTATCGACGTCATTTTCGCTTTTATTTGTTTACATAAAAATTTATTAAAATTATTTTCCATGTTAAATAAGAAACGGTTAACACATACGTACGTAGTAGTTTTTGGTTTTCCTTTTGTTTTTTCCTTTTAATGATATCATATCAATAATGATAATGATAATAAATAGATTAAAAAAAGAAGTTACATTTCCGATATTGAAATATATACTAAAACCATAATTACAAAACCTATTGTACCTTTTTTTTTTTTTTTTTTTTAAATGGTGACTGTACAAAAATAATTTTTTTTCTCCTTCGTTTTTAATTTGTTCTTTTTTCAAAAACGTTTACATTCACCTGATAATAATACTTATTATTATTATTATTAGTGTTTTTTTTATAATTGTTAATTTTTACTTAAGAGAGAGAGAGAGAGAGAGAAGGTAATTTAAAAAAGAGTATTTTAATTTTAAAATGACGAATGATTTACTATTACTAAAAATTAAAGTAATAAATAAAAGAAGAAGAGAATTATTTAAATGATTCGGTTGTAATTGTTTTATAACAAACATTGGTTGGTTGTTGTTGTTGTTGCTTGTGTAGTTATCAGCATCTGTCAAAATGAATCAAGAATAAGTTTTTCAGGTATCGAAAAAACTATTATTATTTCCAGTCTTGTATATTTTAATCCAAATATTTTTTACAAGTGAGTGCGTGTGTGTGTGTGTGCGTCGTCAGTGTGGGTAAGTCTTTGGTAAAAAAAAAAAAAATTCAGGTAATAAAATGTGGTAAGGAAGGTTATTTGTAGGCTGTTTTAGAAAGGATTTTAAAATGAAAAACAAAGAATTGTGAAACGATTTAAAAGGAAAAAAAATTTTTTTTCTAAATAAAAACGAAAGTAAAATATTTAATAAATCGATCCAATTTGTTTTTTTAAATTTAAAAAAATATAAAAAACCCAAATTTAATATATATATTAATAAATTAATTTTATTCATCTATTGACACGACAAGAGAAAATTTTGTTTCGTGACAAACATTAAAAAAAAAAATTATTATTATTATCCTTTCCTTTCCTTTTCTTTTTTTTTTTTTTAAATTTTATTTTGTGGTTTTTTTTTTTTTGTAAAGGAAAATTTTATCATTGAAATTTTTTTCCACAAAATATATATTAAATTGACCTAAGGTTTAAATAACGTGGGAAATTTAGGTCAACTTACTTTCCATATGATCCGATTTGTTTTCTTTTAATTAACAGCGAAACATATTTTTAAAAAAAATCGTGAATGTTTTTTCAACCCGTGCCAAAGAAAGTTTTTTTTTTTTTTTTT